TGCATGTGTACGTGTAATGGAAGCATCGGCATTACTTCTTCACCAAGAATTTTGACAATAATTTTTTTTGCCCGAAGAATGCAACACCTGCAAGTGAATTAGACGGTGAAGCCTCAGGGACACCGATGGACACTGATAGCATTGTTGCAACCGGTAACATGTCCCAAGGTGGAAGTCCAATTCCCAATGAACATCAGAAGCAAAGCTCTGATACGGATGTGGGTCAAGAGGGAGGCCAGTTGGAAGCAGATGCCGAGGTAGAGGTCGAGGCAGGGATGCTTGATGGTGAGGACGCGGAGGCTGATTTGAATCCAGTTGGTTGAGAGATGTGGTGGATGTTATATCGCCAGTTAATACAGAAACTCTCCAACATTGAGTACTGACATCAAAATGAAGTAATCTCTGGTACAGTAGTTGAAATATATTGGGGTGAACATCACATACGATCATTTACCAGTCAAAGGGTTACCCTACCATGACAGAGTTGGGCATCCTTGATGAACATAAACCTGGCGAGATGGCATGGCAATGACGACAGTAAATTATATTTGTATTTTGAGTAACTTCGATTTTGTATTTGACTCGTGTCTCAAATAAAATTGAAATTCGATTTTATTTTGGCCTATCAAAATATCTATGCTTCCCCAACGTTTCTAAGTAAAATATTTTTCCAACTCTACTTCATTTTCTTTTTATTTATTTATTTCGTTCTGAATTCGAGTTTTTCAATGGCTCCGGATTCAAGGCATGAGAGATACAATCAATGTATGTAGAATGAAGGGACGAAAGTTAATTTTGTCCAAACTTTAAGTAGGAAATTAAAGTTTAAATCTTCTCCACTCAATTTTTTGTGACCTATATATTAGAGTGTCACATGGTTTTTTTTATTTAATTTATAATTTTTTTATAGAGAAAATAAGTTGAAGAGTTACCTGTTAAGTGTGATTTAACTGAATAACTAAGTGTCGAAAAATCAAATAAATGACGAACGATTTTTAACATCAGCAAACCTATCTAATCATTTCAATCATATACAACGGACGAGACTTAAGTTGAAGCCAAAACAAGAAAAAAGAAATGCTAGAAAGACTCTCAAAGTGGGGCCCTGTCACTTCATGTTTTTTGTACTAAACGCTTAACTAAATTAATCTCACTTAATTTATTTTAAATCAATCTAACTTAATCTATAAACCTAGATGAGTCCAAAATAATCCAGATGCAACAAGCGCGTTACTTAGGGCTGGTTTGGTATTGCTGTGCTTTGAAAAAAAGCTGCTGTGAGAATAAGCGGCTGTGCTGTGAGAATAAGCGGCTGTGAAATAAATCAGCAGAGTGTTTGATAAAATTTTTTATAAAAGTGCTTTTGGAAAAAAAAGCAGTCTAATAGTGGGTTTTTTCATTAAAGAAGCACTGTAGCTCCGTGTGCTTTGAAAAAAAGCCAGTTTTCCAAAGCTGCAAATAGCAGCTTTAGCTTTTTCCTTTGATTTCAGCTTATTCTCACAGCAGCTTCCAAAATAAACCCTTTTTTTCAGTTTATCAAACACCTAAAATCCTCATAGCTTTTTTTCATGGGTACTTTTTTTTTAAGCACCTCACTCCCAAATTAGGTCTTAAAAAAGCCTGATCCGCACGGCATCGAAACCGAACCTGAAGACACTATTTTGGCGTGTTGCTTATTTTTGGTTATTTTTTGTTTTTTTTGTTTTGTGCCGGCTCTCTCTCTATGTGTCCGCCTGACTCTGGTTTGAGGAGTGAGAAGTGAGAGGAGACTGACTGAATTTCGACGTCGTCCTCCTCCTCCTCCAACCTCCATGGCCGATTCTTCTTCGGTGGTGCTATACTATCTCTCTCAGCCGCGGTCCTTGAGACATTTTTACTTCATACCCACAACCTTAGCTCTCGCAACCTCTCTCCTCATCCTCTTCTACATTTCCTCCACCTCCAATCTCTTCGCCCACCACCATCATCATGCTCACTCAATCCCACAACTGCTACTCAATATTTCATCTTCCTATACACCCTTTCGAGTCGAAGCTCATCTGAAAGCGGACGGTGCTCAAGTAATCCAGGGTCAACGCTCACCGGAGCAACCTCAATTGGGATCGAATGGTATGTCAATTTTCGATTTTCGGCTTTTGGGACTTGCTAATTGGGCTTGATGTTTTTATATAATTGATGGGTTTTCGTTATATTCGTGTGTACAACTTGTAATTAGAACTTGTGATCTAGAAGGATGAAACTGAATGAAAGAATATAAAGGTTTTGTGGTTGTTGATGAAATGGCAGGTGAAAATTGAGATAGGTGGTGAAAAATTGTGAACTATTTTTATGAAATGTTGAATCTTTGAACAATTTACCGGGTTGAATGTGAATGTGTAAAGTTTTGGCATGGGTGGGTGAGTGAGTGACAGTTTACAACTTTACAGTGTGAGATTTCGATGTTTTTGATTCCGGTATCTGGAAACTGTTGGTTTTTATGGTTCAGGAAACTATGTCAATAACAAAGCCGTGTTCCATGATAGACATATCTTTCTTGAAGACTATAAAGAAATGAAAAGGAGCTTTAAGATATATGTTTATCCTCACAGGCAAGATGACTCCTTTGCAAATGCACTTTTGCCTGTGGATTCTGAACCCAGGGGTAATTACGCGAGTGAAAGTTACTTCAAGAAGGTCCTTATGAAAAGTCATTTCATTACCAATGATCCTACTAAGGCGGATCTTTTCTTTCTGCCTTTCTCAATTGCAAGGTTGCGGCATGACCCCAGAATTGGCGTGGGAGGTATCCAAGATTTTATAAGAGATTACATCTTCAATGTTAGTCACAAGTATGAATATTGGAACCGGACAGGTGGAGCAGATCATTTTTACGTTGCTTGTCATTCCATTGGGCGGTCAGCCATGGAAAAAGCAAATGAAGTCAAATTTAATGCCATTCAAGTTGTTTGCTCTTCAAGCTACTTCCTACCGGGCTACATACCACACAAGGATGCATGTCTGCCACAAATTTGGCCCAGAAATGAAAAGCCCCCTGACCTTCGTTCTTCAAATAGGTGAAGATACTTCAATTTCTATCTCTCTTTTGTTATACTAGACATAATCGTATGTTTTTCCTTCTATAGTAGAGCCTCATCATCTGTGACACTAGATGATTTGTGTTAGCATTACATTCCGAGTATGTCACATCAAATGGATAAGTAGTTATAAAAAGAGATGCCCGCATTTTGGGTGGAAAAGATGGGAATTTTAACGATGTTGGATGTGAGGAGGTGAATAGTTTGTGGGAGAGAGTGGGATTTCGGGTACTTTATGGGCTTCGGTATCTTCAGATTTGCAGACCATTCTTTCTGAAAAAAGGGGGAATCTATTTATTTACTTTCTTTAAATATTCTATCTTACAAATGCATTCATTTTCTGAAAATTGAATTCGCAGTATAACAATGCTTTTGGAAATATGTTGGTTTTATCTCTCTGCATGAGCTGGAACTTAGTTTTCCCCTTTTGATAAAAAAAAAAAACGAAAATGCAGGACGAAACTTGCATTCTTCGCCGGAGGAATCAACTCCCCAGTACGAGAAAAGCTTCTTCAAGTCTGGAGAAATGACTCTGAGATTTTTGCGCACTTTGGTCGGCTTACTACACCATATGCTGATGAACTGCTTGGCAGCAGGTTCTGCCTCCATGTCAAAGGCTTTGAAGTAAATACAGCTCGTATTGCAGATTCACTATACTACGGTTGTGTCCCAGTGATAATTGCCAACTACTATGATTTACCATTCGCAGACGTAATAAACTGGAGCAGCTTCTCGGTCATTGTTGCTACTCTAGATATCCCACTGCTTAAGAAAATCCTCAAGGAGATCAGCTCCGATGAATATCTGCGGTTACAGAGTAATGTGTTGAAGGTGCGCAAACATTTCCAGTGGCATCTTTCCCCTATTGATTATGATGCTTTTTATATGGTTATGTATGAGTTGTGGCTCCGACGAGGTTTTTCGACAGTTCCCTTGAGCAATTTTGAAACTTCTTAGTCAACAAATTGTTTTACACGATTGTAACAACTGGATTCTGCATGTATATGTTTCTTTTAGTTCAATCCTTTTAGTGCAAAAGTAGCTTGCAAGATTGAGCATCATAATCTTGACTTTGCTCAGATTTCAAATTTTCTGTAGCCGTGAATTTTGATTTGTAATTCACTTCCAATAAGAGAAAGTATACAATTTTTGTTTTATATATTTATAGCTTACAATTTCTTCCTCACTCTCTTCTAACGTACTTTGAACCGGAGTTATGAAATGACGGCCTTATTTTAACAAGTAACGCAAAGGCCCTTATCTCTCTTCTTCAAAACTATTTTAGTTTTTCGACTGTTAATAATAATATCGTTTTTGTTAGATTGCATCGCTTACTAAATAATGTTATTTGCTAGTATTTTGAAGAAGAAGAGAGCTAATGCAAACATGTCTTGTAAGAACAAAAATTCTAAAGTTTTTAACGAGTTTTAGTTCAATGATATTATTTACATAAGTTTTATGAGTTTTATGATACCACGGACTCTAGTAATGAGTGACAAAGTTTTGACAAGTTGAAGAAAGAAAAGAAACAAATGCGTCAAGGACTCGTAGATTAGCTGGTTGAGAGTATAATTTTTATATTGAAGTCTTGAACTCGATTTCTCTATTCGTATTGATCGCTTGAGTTGAAAAGGAAATTAGAGCATTATTTTGTCGGATAATTGGCTGAAATGAAGGTTATTAAATTTTAATCGTTGAAATTCTCGAATCAAATTACGACAATGTATTAACGATGCAACAAATCTCAAAAAAAGAAAAAAAAAATCATTTCAATAATTGAATTTTGTATTAACATCGTTTTAGCCGATTTCATTATTTTATTTTAATTTTTTCGAAGAACGAAACAAAAAAAATAGAAAAAGGGAGAGAATCAAAGTGAGCAGTAATGTTGGGACCGTAAGACAAACAAAACAAAGCTCGAGATCTTTGAAAAAAACATAAGAGTACGAATCCGAGGGAGTACACACACACACACTGACACCAACGACAAAACACAAAGTTCCTTCCTTTCTTCCAAACTTCCAGTTCCATTTTTTAAAATCTACAAATTTGCAGCACAGAATCTAAAACCCATTTCCCTTTCCGATTATCTTCCATAAAGCTTCACTCCACGCCACCAGATTCGTTGATACCCCTCCGTCTGCTTTCTGTTTGTTTCCCGAGAAAAAATTTCCATGTTCAATTTTTTATTGTTCAGATTTGAATTGACTAATCGCCCCTGCTTCCGAGGTTCGTTGACTTAACTTACGATTTTATCAATCTTTAATCTTTGATTATCTGGTGGTACAATAGCAATAGTTCAGATCCTTTGATCGAAATTTGTCATCTTTTTCATTGATTCATCGTTCTAGCTCAATTGGGTTGTCTTTGTTTTCTTGGTTGATTGATTTTTTGTTGTTGGCTGTTGATTTTTTTAGTAGGAAAATCATCGAGTTGAAATTGGATATGGAAATGTGATGTTTGATTGGGGAAAGTGGAATTCTTGTTGCGTGCTTGATGAGCCAAGATGATATTCAAATCTAAGATAAAATGGGTTGCTGTCTTTGTCCTCGTTTTATCTTTTGCATCATTACTTCGGCATCTCTCTATAGCACGATTTTCGACTGTCGATTTAGTCCAGTATAGCGCATTGACCGCATTCCATAACGATTTCAATTCTATCTCTGGGAGGCAGGTGGGATTTTGATTCATTTCTCTGTCTTTTATGCATATATTTCGAGTGTATGTTCTTGGTTGTTTTGATGGGTTTCTTATGTTTGTTACAATCTTGCAGAGTGTTCCTAATAAGAAGCTATGGGGGCCTGTGAAGCCCCTGCAGTCTTTGCAGCCTTATGCCAACCCCCGAAGCAACTATCCTGGTGAAGATCTTGCTCTTTTTCTTGCATTTGTGTATTTTCTCATTTTGTTGCTTCTGGTTTTATCATATTCTAGCATGGTATAGTTTAAGAATTAGACAATTTGAACCCATTGACGAATCCATTCCCTCGCATGCAGGACCAAACACATTTTGTAGTCTCGAAGCATCTGTTAACTGTCATTTTTGTTGTACTGGATTGGAATTGAGTTCCCTCATGCTATGTTCTTTTTTGTCACTGGAGGATTTGATAACCTTGAACCTTTCATATTTTAGCTGATTGAATACTTTTGTTTTCTTTACAGTCCCAAATGACCAGAGCAATGGCTTCATTTACGCAAAAATATTTGGTGGATTTGAAAAGATAAGATCTACGGTATGATTTGTCAAATATGTGAAAATGATTCCGTGATAATTTGTATGTGGTGTTCATAAATCTTTGTTAATTTTCTAGATCTGTGATCTGGTCACCATATCCAGGCTTCTAAATGCTACTCTTGTCATTCCAGACATTCAAGAAAGTACTCGCTCAAAAGGCATCAGGTTCTTTTCTAGTTTGCTACTTCTTTTATGCCAATTTTCTGCGGTATGTAGACCATATGGTTCATTGCTTATCTTTTTTGTTTTAAATGACTTTGTCAGCTCTCGTTTCAAGAGTTTTACATATCTCTACGATGAGGTGCACTTTATAGCATCTTTAAAAAATGACATAGTCATTGTGAAGAGTCTGCCAGATAATCTGAAGGCAGCAAGGAAAAGAAATGAATTCCCTTCTTTTAGACCCAAGAAGTCAGCTTCTCCAAATTTTTATATCAAAGAAGTCCTACCAAAGTTGAGGAAAACCAAGGTTATTGGCTTGGTCATTGCTGATGGTGGATGTCTGCAGGTAGCTGATGTTCTACTATTTTAATAGTATAGCTATTGCAAAATGTCATCTGCTTGAGAAAACATGCATATTCTTTTAACATTTATAACTACATTTTTTCATACTCTTTTTGCGCTAGAACTGTCACCTATGAACCATTGTTTATGAAAATAAATACATGTTATCTAAGAACCACTAAAACATTCATTCTCTGTCGCTTTGCTATTGGTTCATAGGGACCATTCATTCACATATGATTATGCAGTAGTCAGTCTGTTTTCTTTCTTTTTGCTTTAGTGATTTCTGTGTTCCAAGCATGCATGCTTGATAATTAAGTCTAAGTGTTCTTGATGCAATATAATCCTATTTTCAGTCAATCCTTCCACCAAACATGGCCGAGTTTCAAAGACTTAGATGCAGGGTCGCCTTCCATGCACTTCAATTCAGGCCAGAAATCCAAGTGCTTGGACACAAGATGGTGGAGAGGTATGAATCGAGCAACCCACCTTTTTTCTTGAAGATTTGAATCGCCTGAGCGATATTGGTGTTTAGCAAACTTGATTAGTACAGACTGCTTTTAGACCATCTGCATGATGTTTTTAGTTAAATAGATTTTTCATTTGAAGGTTACGGCTGAGTTGGAAAGATTAGGCAATAGATAGAGTTAACCAGAAGGACTTCAAAGGCTGCATGAAGTTTCCTATAATAACCGCTAGTGTGGTCATATTGTTCTGGGAAAGGATGAGGTTTATATCTTTTTGCTTAGGGATTCTATCTTATCAGAGTTTAGTGATTATTACTTTCGTATATATTGCTAGATTAGAAGGCCGTTATAGGATTAGTTCTTTTATTTATGTAGCTTCTGTAGATGATGGATCTTTATTAATTTATTCATTGTATCTGGCTTCTGGTGGACCCTGTTCACTGCTTGTAATAATTTAAATCTAAGAACTATTTTCCTTCAGTTGATCAATGTGGCTTTTATACTTCGATAGGTTACGTGCATGGGGTCAACCTTTCCTAGCGTATCATCCTGGTTTGGTGAGAGAAACCTTGGCATATCATGGCTGTGCTGAACTTTTTCAGGTAAGATGTTTAATCCGGTTTTATCTTTGGTAGTTGTGAAAATATAAATTGTTGACCTACATGCTTAGACTATATCATAGTATTACAGTAATAGAACCTAAGCTTGAATAACCTGTAATTATGAATCCCATTATTAAGTTGAGTTCCACATGTTGGCCCTTGGTGATGGAAAGAGGCTCACATGTGACGGGGGTGTTACAACTTAACATAAACTTCCTGGTTACAATCTTTTCAAATCTCTGCCTGTGAAGTCTAAGTTGGTGGTAAAACAATTGTTCTCCTTTGTTCCTTGGTTAAGTCTAAGTCCAATAAAAATCCAGTTTTGGAGCTCTCCCCCTCCTTTTGAGTGCAGGTGGTTTCTACCTTAAACAACTGCAAAATATTAACATTCATTCAGTTTCATGGTTATCAAATTATCTTGTTAACTTTTCTGTAGGATGTTCACACTGAACTCATACAATATCGAAGGAAACAAATGATTAAAAAGGGCATTGTTCATGAGGAACTAAGCATAGATTCACATTTGCGTAGAGAAAATGGCTCATGCCCGCTGATGCCTGAAGAGGTAAGCTCAGTACTAAATTTCAGATCCAGCTTATGTATTTGTAAGTACTGTTGTGTGGCTTCTAGTCCACTCTGATGCTTCTTTCACGTGGTCTATTTTTTGTTGTTTTGAAAATTTCACTTTTCAGTGCCATAAGAATGTTTAAAAGACTAGTAGTGAACTTCAATGCTGGTTGTGAAATTAAGTTTCCTTGGCACTCACTCAACACTGGAATTGATTTGAGCAGTTCAGAAAAAGCAGAACCTCTAGCATCCTTTAATCGATTTCACTTTCAAATATTAAATATTAACATTACAATTGGAATGGAATTTGTGTTTCCAAAAATTTATGCACAAGTAATATGTTTAATAAGTCGAGGACGCAGACCAAAAAAGAAAACATTAGAGGATGGAATGACACTTCCCCTTAATTAATCCAACATTATCTGATTCATAAAAACAATTTTCGTATTTAATTACTTGAAATTTTTTATTTCAAAGGAGTAAATGATAAATAGGCAACGAATAAGAGTAAGGAATGATCCTTTCTAAAGGTATCTACTCTAAATAATGATATGCGTCACTGTGATTCCTAAATTACCATGTTGACTGTCCCTAATTGGGTCATCGCCTTGACAAAAAGCATAAGAAAAATAAAAGAGAGGGGAGGGTAGTAGAAAAAAAGATCCTGGGATTGAAAACAACCTTGTATATTATCTCAAGCTCAAGTCCTTATCCCGGGGCTTGACTCAAGCATTTTAATACGTCTGTGAACAAGCTTTAACTAAGAATCATGGTCTAAATTTGATCTTGTACTTATTGCATCGTTTTACACACTATAATTTCAGTTTTGGTGGTGCATTGATAATGTATGGGCTCATTGATGATAATTAATAAATCAATCTATCTACATTTTTGTGGTTCATTAGCTCATTTATTCGTGTTGCGACTTTCACAGGTTGGAATTCTTCTTCGTTCAATGGGGTATCCTCCTAAAACAATTATATATCTGGCTGGTTCTGAAACATTTGGGGGTCAACGTGTTCTGGTCCCTTTGCGTGCTATGTTTCCCAACTTAGTGGATCGCACTTCCTTGTGCAGCAATAAAGAATTGTCTGATATACTTGGACCTGAAACACCCCTTCCGCAAAATCCATTTCAACGACTGCCAGCAAAAAGCAAGGAACAACTTAAAGAAAAATGGAAGAAGGCCGGTCCTAGGCCTCGGCCTCTTCCTCCACCTCCTGGTAGACCTATCTATCAACATGAAAAAGAAGGCTGGTATGGTTGGATTACTGAGTCTGACACGGAACCAGACCTTTCTGCTTTGGATCTGAGGATGCAAGCACATAGACTAATTTGGGATGCTCTTGATTATATTGTCTCTGTGGAAGCAGACACATTCTTTCCTGGTTTTAACAATGATGGCAGTGGATGGCCAGATTTTTCAAGCTTGGTCATGGGACACCGTGTGTATGAGGTTGCTTCTTCTAGAACATACCGACCAGACAGGTAGGAGAAAAAGAAAGGAATCTTCTTCTTCGACTTTTTATGATTATTGTTCTTATTTAACTTGTGTGTCCTCTTTTCGAACAGGAAAGTTGCAGCAGAACTTTTCAACATGACCAGGGACAATGTCTACCATCCCAAGCATAATTGGACAGTCTCAGTGCAGGAACATCTTAAGAAAAGCTTAAGTGAGGAAGGCCTAATAAGGCAATCCGTTTTGTCGAAGCCAGCATTATTCATTTCACACCCACTTCCCGAATGCTCATGTAGAATATCTTCTGCCAATGCTCCAGTTCATGTAAAAGGTAATGATGGCCGAACTATATATGGAGGTGAAGAAGAGTGCCCGAAGTGGATGAAGCATGGTGACGAAGTTCCTTTGGATTCAGCTGGGGAAGAGGGTAAGGTGGAGGACAATGAATTGTCAGAGTACGGAAGTACTCTGGATGAACAACCAGAATCAAATGACAGCGACAGAACTAATGCTACTCTTGTCTCTGAGCAGGATGAGGAAATGGACCCGAATGACTAAAGTTGGATCTACATGCGATACAGTTCCTATCTTTTACTCTAATGCAGCCTTCCGCTTCCATCGTCTTCCACTGAAATGGAAAGTTTTGGAGGTAGAGATGACAATAACGGTTTGATTCATGGTTCCAGCTTTGCCATTTTGAGAGATATAGGTATTCAAACATATTCTTTGGGTAAATTCTTTGATTTTCTATAGTAAACGGGAGAGTTATTTGTTTACCTTCACACAAGTTGAGGATCGGGAAATATTATCGATGCGCTTGGGGTAAAGCCAATCAGAGTTTGTACACCGCCTACCGGTATTGAAGGTTTTTATTCATAGAAAAAGTGTTACTTGTTAGATAAGCCACATGTGTAATTTTCTTGTAAACAACAAATGACGAGTACATGAAATGGTTCATTGCGATCTCTTGTTAAATTTTTTGTCGAAACTTGGTCCTTTAGTGATAACGTTTCATTTCGAAATTCCCTTTCAAGTTTTGAATCATGCACTTCCCCAATCCTTCTGAATCTTTCTCCTCACCTCATTTGTTGGCAAATCCCAAAATATGAGCAACCTAGGAAGCAGGCATTGCCTTGTGATCCAACGCTCATTGCATATGCAAAGTTATATCCATACTCTATAGATGTTTACAAACAAACCAAATTTTCAAGTAATTTACATCCTACTGAAACGACTGTCATATTCCGGTTAGTTGCCACACAAACGAACCCGCTCCCGCTCACCCGGTTTTCGTAGTACATACTACTAACATTAGTTTCAACATGGATGACTTCTTAAATTGCAGATCACAAGAAAAATACACTAACAGATGACATTTATATGTTACTAACAATAATATAAAACGCAAATTATGGAGTATTAGTATAGAGAGGTGAAATGCGCTACCGCAGAGCGCTATGCTGCATCAGCAACAGCCACTGCTGCATCTGTGGGCTTCTCAGCAACAGTGAGGATTGCACCTTCAGCTTCTTTTATCTGCCTCGTGATGTCTGACTTTTTCTCAAGCAGGGCTTCTATTTTTCCATTGATCTTCTCTAGCTTCTGTTTCAGCTTTCCAACATCCGTGCATTTGTCCTTCTTATCGACTTTTCTTTTGTTCTCGCCCTTCTCGCCCTTCTCACCCTTCTCCTTTTTCTCTTTATCTTTCTTCTCTTTACCTTCCTTTCCTTCATCTTTCTGCGTCTTCTCCTCCATTTTCCCCTCCGATTCCTTTACGTTTTCTACAATTTCAATCTCCGTGGGAGAAACTTCAGCCTTGACCTCCTCATCCTCTACATTTTTGTGTTTCTTCTTTTTGTCCTCCTTGTCTTTCTTCTTCTTTCCTCCTTTTTTGTCATCTTTTTCCTTATCCCCTTCCTCTAAATCTTTACCTTTGTCCTCTTTCTCCTTTTTATCTTTCTTCTTTTTCTCTTTTTCTCCCCCTTCTATATCATCGTCTTTAACTTTGTTCTTCTCCTTGTTCTTTTTCTTCTTCTCTTCCTTGTCCTTCTTTTTATCCTTATCGCTCTCTCCCGCTTCATTGTTCTCTTTCTTCTTTTCGTTCTCCACTATGTCTTTATCCTTCTTTGATTTCTCCTCATCTGCATCGTTATGTTTCTCCTCATCCTTTTCATGTTTCGGCTTTTCTTTTACCACTGACTCGGTCTTTAATTCAAGTTCCGCTTCAGTCTTCTCCTCCTTCGGTTCACCTGGTTCTACATCCCTGGTCATCATCACCATATGCCATTCTTCCTTTTCCACTTTTTCTTCTCCGTTATATTCAGTTTTGTCTTCCATCTCCAGACTATTTGCCAAAAGTCGAAAAGTACAACAATTTCCACCGAACCTGTGATTCCCTAAAAACAAATGTAACTGTGCAATCAGTAATCCGGAAAGATATTCAGTAGATCACAAAATGCTAATACTCGGTGATTTATAAAACGAAAAACTAAACAAGGAGCATAAAATCTTCTGTTTACCTATACTTTTTTTTAGAACACCTCCGCGACACGAGAGAAATTTTATTGATAACGAAAAATTATGTTTACCTATACTCAGCAGATTACAGACGATGCTTAAACAATTGGAAACTTATAGGAACTTTATCTACATGTTAGGGTAACAACGAAAGCTAACAAAACTTACTTTCTGTTTATCAATCGTCATGAAACACACAGTACAGATTCGAGACAAGTGGATATCTTTGGCGGCAAGCAACAGTCGATATAGGGATTTCAAAAGAATGTAGCTCTAGTTAATTTTGTTGTCATTTTTCCAAATACATAGCCCATACACATGGGGCTAAAGATTTCCCCAAATTTAACTCAAAGGGTAAATAAGCAACAATTGTGTCCTTATGAAATTGTGAAAACAGCAGCAGTAAACAAACCAACATAATAATATCAAATAAAAGCAACAAGAAAGAAAGAAAGAAAGAACCACAACATTCATGATTGATCACATATACTTAAAAATGACATCACATAACATGTTTATTAATCCGTAACTGGAATTGTTAAATTACCTCAACTTACAGAAAGGAACCTGTTTGATTGCCGGCTTCTGTAACGCAACGTGTTTCTTGAGAGAGAGAGAGAGAGCGCTTTGGTTTCCTTTGTAAATTGTGGTAGCTTCGATTCGTATATATGTGCAAATTTGGAATATGAAAGCTGTTGGGCAATGGATTGATTGTGCCACGGCCATCCACCTGTCGGTATTTTCGTCAACACGCAAAGGAACGGCACCTTCTTCTGTGTAGCGTACGTACCCAATACGCGGGTTTTGTGTGTTTTCTCCAAAACTCCAACGTCTTCCATGTTTCGGCCATGCAATTCAATTGCCTAACGTCGACGACATGGACGAGAAAACAAACTTAGCTCTTAAGTCTTCTTCCAAGTCTTGAACTCATCCCTAATTTCGGGTCACTTTCACATTGCACCCTCCCTTCTTGTTTCAAGCTTATTTTTTGGGAAACAAAGCTTGGCTGCTTAAAAACAAGCAGGAGCTCCTTCTCAAGTTGTTAGTTCAAGTTTTGATTTTTCAATTTTTTTTTGGACACTTGTCAAGTTGTTGTTGGATGAGAGAATGAGCTCATGCTTGTTTTTAAGCAGCCAAGCTTTGTTCTTTTTAGGGTGCCAAACTTCTTATCAATTTTTGTACTTTCCACTATGGCCTTAGATTAAAACGACGTAAGAGTACATAAGCGAATTAAAAAAATATATATATAATTACAGATGTTAGACTCCAATCAAATTAACCCCTTTCATCGTTGGTGACTATTCATTGAATAACAATGAATGAGTTCGCTTGACACTATAAAGAATAATGTTAGTTAGACTAATTTGTAAACTAAATGATATGTCATCAATAAGAAAAAAAAAACACATTAATCAATAATTAAGTAATAATTCAATCATAAACTTCCATGAACCTTAACCGACAATTCATGTCGTTTTTTTTTCAAGAATTTTCAATATTCATTTTGAACTTGTTAGCTTCGGTGGTGTGGATTAAATTTACTATTTTAGTTATCTAAGACAGATTAGATTGGGTTTAATAGGGAACAATTTAAATGTTTATAAGGGTACTTATAGATTTTTATCAAAGAAGTAAGTAATTAATTAAGGGAAGCGTTATTGACACTCCAAAGATCTCATTATACACTCTTTATAAGTGTATTTTTTCTTTCCTAATATAGAAAATTTAGAATGTAAAATGAGATTGTTTTTTTTTTTTTTTTGAAAAGGTGTAAAATGAGATTGTTAGAGTACTAATAACAATTCTCTTAATTAATTCGATGAATTTAGAAAAATAATTGAGCGTTGACAGACGCTCCTGAACCTCGTAGGCCCACCGCCTGCATCAATGGTGGGTCATGCAATGTAAGTGGAGAAAAACAGCCGAGATCAAAGGGCACATTCGTCCTTTAACAAAGTTCAAAAATAGAAAGTGCCACTTTCTCTGTCTTTCAAATTTCCCACATGGAGTAACAAATCAACAATAATTTAAAAATAAAAAGTAACAAACGAATTTCAAAACTTAAAAACAAAATTATATTATATTATATTTTACACCCTCAAGTATGGGTGCTATTATAAACTCATATTTCATCTTTAAATTATGACATTGTCATACACTAATTTGTGTTTCACTATAATGTTGTAGATTTATTAGTTAATCAGTTCTGTGATGCTATGACAAACATAAATCCCACGTTTGTATCACGTTTGAAAATAAATTAAGATAATTTAATTATTAAAAACAGAAAATAGAAAATCATTAAAACAAATATTTTGATATTTTTAAAAGATTAAAAAATTTATTTATTCTACATGGCACAATAGTGATATCCATATCAATAAAATTAGACCTTATACCGCATCATCACTTGACGTCTAATTTGACAGATATGTTAAAGGAGTTATAATCAAAACTAAATTACACCTTTGTGTACGTACGATATTATAATATTATAATAATAAAATATGAGTCCTAAATTTTGAGAGTGAAAAATATAATTAACTTGAAAAAAAATGGAGAAAATTAAAATAAAAAAGAAAATCACGTTCCGTCTCTGATATCTCTCTCTCCGTCTCTCTCCTCTGCCGCAACATTCCCAACACAAAAAGCACATTCTTTCTTTCTTTCCCCTTCATTTGGTTACCCTTTCTCTCTCCTCTGGAAACCCTGACAGTGGCCTGGTTTTTTTTTTTTTAATTAACCAGGTCCCTCAGAGGAGAGAAAGCTTCCATTTTTTTTCCTTAAATTTTTAGCTTTTATTAATTTTTTTCTCAAATTGTAGTTTTTCATCGTCGCATTTTTCAGCTGCCTTCGACAATGAACGACCTGCTAAAGGTAATGTATTTGATTTTCGTTCGTTAATTTATGCTATGCTTTATTTGTTTGGGCATGTTTGGAGGTTTTGTGGCTCTGTTTTTGTCATGATCCGGTTGCGTTATGTTATTGGATCTGCGTTTTTAATGAATTTTTTTTTTTTTTTTTATTGAATTTTTGGCTTATGGGGGTTTGGCCTTTTGTACTTTCTGTTTGGTTAGTGAGAAAAAGGAGGGAAATTGATGAAAATTTGAAAGTTAATGAATTATGGGATTTTGCATTGTCCTTGAGGGAATGCAAGTGGTTGGTTTTACTTCATTGCAGCTCAATCAACGCAAGCTACTGTAGCTACCAAAACTTAAAAACTTGAACAATTTGTTTTCTTTTTCCCCTTGTTTATCTGTATTGTTTTCGATTTCTCAGCTTTCGAACAGAATTCATCGGCATTGATGTTTTGAATCACTTAAGATTCGTATAAACTAGACTTTTGACTCCCTTTTTCTCTTTTATGGATTTTAAATTATTACCGATAAGGACAATGATGGAAGTTGTAAAACGAGTGTTGTAGTTTTACATAATGCTGAATAACACTTGACATATACGCAAGCTCTGCAATTGAGGCCGTGTTTTTCTTTCTATATATCGGGTTTGCTTGTCTATACTAATTGTCTACTAGAATGTGTTCTTAGAAATTTAGTAGTGTCATGCGGTTATGTAAGTTCAAGTCATAGTTATCGTGCCTTTTCTTTCCTTTTATCTTTCTTTCCTAAACCGTATTGAACTCAAGCAATCGGATTCGGGATTAAGGTTTTGTTCGAGTTCATTTATGACCTATTTACTGCTTGCAGGATTCTTTTGAGATCTCTCGGGGTCAAGCTTTGAGAGATGGAGATATCGAACTAGGAGCACATGCTTCAATGAATTCTGGAGAACTTGGTTTGGAGGATTTTTTCAAAAAGGTGTTTTAACTTCTTTTACTTATTTTTCTTCAACATCCCTTAAATGCATGAAACATAATTATTTTCTTTTTCCGTTACTCTTTTTCCTTTTACTTTTTTCCATAGATAATTATTCTGTATATGGAATTTGTGTTATGTTTACTTTCTGTTGATTCTGTCTAATGCTTTCATGATTTTTGCCCCCAGGTTCAAGAGATCGAGAAGCAAAACGAGAAGCTTGATAAACTTTTGAAAAAGCTCCAGGTATTATGCTTTCCAATATGTTTCCCTTACCTTGCCAGCGCCATGAAGGTTTTTTGTTTGTCTCAGCTGTCATAGTTCCTCATTGGTTGGTGCTATTGTCTGGAATGCTTGAATTGGTTACTCTTTAACTTGGTCTCATTCAGTGTTGCGCTAATGAATTCAGCATTTGGAAAAATTTTGTGTTCTCTTTTTTGTGCCTTGTACAATAGCTTACAAAATTAGAGTGCGTTACAGTTGGTGGAATGATTCTTTGAGATATAAGATGCACTTTTTTATCACTTTTAATGGTTTTTTTTTTTTTAATGCAGGATGCACATGAAGAGTCCAAGGCTGTTACTAAGGCTCCTTCCATGAAATGTAATCTCAAACTTGTTTAATTATTTCAATAATCACGTGAATCTTTCATGCTTATATTCGTATTTTCTATTATGTTATGATGCTTGTTTCTTTCATAGCTCTATAAAATGTTGCCTATTATGGATTTAAACGGAGGGAGAAAACAAGAAGTATGTAAGATAGGAGATGTCGTGTTATCTCATACATCTAAAAATAATGCCTGTAATCTGTTTTCCCTTTCCTGGTGATATATATTCTGTTTGCATTTATCGACTTAATTTTTCGTTTCCCTCCTCATTAAGTCAACAAAGATGATGGATTCTTTCACCACGTGCAGCAATCAAGCAACGAATGGAGAAAGATGTTGACGAAGTTGGAAAAGTTGCTCGATGGATAAAGTCAAAAATTGAAGAACTTGACAAAGGGGTAAGTTTTGACTCAACAGAAAGCTGCGCTTATTTCTGTGGTTGGCAACAATTTTGTTTGTCTGACTAGCCTTTCCTTCTGGGTCCAGAATTTAGCAAATAGACAGAAGGCTGGTTGCGGAAAGGGAACAGGTGTAGATAGATCCCGAACAGCAACAACCCTGTAAGTCCGTACTCCAACATTTGCCTTCAAAATGCCTTATACCTATTTCCCCTCATTTACTTTTGGTATCTACTAAGTTGTGGTATCACCAATGATTTTTCACCCACACGTGCTTGTTGGAGAAATCTTTTATTAATTGTCAACTCAGCTGAATCTAACATTGTCAAGTGTCCACTGTTATCTATTGTTGCAGTGCCTTGAAAAAGAAATTAAGGGACAAGATGACTGAATTTCAGGTAGGTCATACACACCCACACATGCATTTTATTTTTTAATCCTGTAATCTTTGTTTCTTTCATCGCTAAATTTTGAACTTAAAACATGCAGACTCTAAGGGACACCATCCATCAAGAGTATCGTGATGTTGTCGAGAGGCGAGTTTTTACAGGTTTGAACCCCTCACTTGCCACTCATCAGTGGTTGCTATTTCTCTCTTGAATTTCCATGATCTGATTTTATAGTTTATTTCTCTTGCATTTTGTGAATGTCAGTGACGGGTGCAAGAGCTGATGAAGAGGTAAAACTTATTGCACTGTTGAAATTACGGTATATCTATACCACTGTGAAAGCTAATTTTCTAATTATTTAACATTATACAGACAATTGAAAGACTAATCGAGACAGGAGACAGTGAACAAATTTTCCAGAAGGCAATCCAAGAACAAGGGCGAGGCCAGGTTTGTCAAATTTCCTTTTTTATTCTCTGCCCCCAAATAAGCACTTTTTACTATCGAAATTGTGCATTCTCTCACAAACTTG